GAGCGCTCGGCCGCCGCGGCCCCCACCGAGGGCGCAGCACCCCTGGGGACTGAGCACAGCTCCACAGCGCCCAGCGGCACCCTGCCCGCCCGAGAGGAGCCGGCCTCAGCGGGGGTAATGGCAGCATTGCGACTCGCTCCTTCCTTGCCCTCAGGTGGCAGCACGGTGTTAGAGGAATAGCTGCCTGAGGCGGCAAGCACCAGACTGGTCTAAGGGCAGCTTCTGCTGTGGCAATGGAGGACACAGCCAAAAAAATACCCCAACTCAGAGCGACAAGAAGCCCTGAAGCTTCTTCTACAGCCACTGGAGCCCAGCAAGGTACAAATCACCCTGGAACACTGACCTGCCACTCAGTCGAACTGTCCTGGAAATACCACATCTGAGAAAGAGAAACAGACCCTAAGTGTTCCTGTTGTTTGCTTTAGCAATCTGAGTGAAAATGATACGTTGCCGATGGCCCACCTCCATCCCCACCATGCCAAAGCCTACACCAGACAGCTTACTTCTAAATCTTTATTTGTTTTCTACACAGAGAAAACAGAGGAATGTTGAAGCAGCAATATTTAAACACACTAGCAAGGAGACATCAATCTGTGAGAGTGCACAAAATGCAACACAGGGGCATCTGTGCGGTGGTCTCTGCTAAGGGGCAGGGTGAGGGTAGGTCCAGGAGCAGCCTCTTCAGACAGGCGGGAGAGCTCTACGCAAAGGTGGAGCCGTTCCAGCCCACATTGGCAGCATTCATGTCAAAGTAGTTGATGTACACCCTGCAGAAGAGGCACAGGAACACAGAAACAATAATTTTATTAACTCATTTAATACCAGTAACTCATAAGTAATGAGACAGGACAGGGGACAGTGCTTTCTGTTCCCCAGAGGAAATCTCAAGCTTCATTTTTTACTGAAATCTAACTTCTCTGGCAGAGCCTCCAACTGTCAATATTCCTTGGAGTATCTGGAATTGTACTTTTTAATTTTTTTTAAATACAAACTCTTCTTCAGTCAGGGTCTGTTCAGACACCAGACAGCTTTTGGTTAGCAGCCTGTCAAGAATTTCCGGAGATGAAAACCCTTTGTTTCCGAGCACTGCAGCCCTTCACACATGTCAGCCAGGCAGCCTTATGAAAGCCAAGCAGGCCCTCGGGGCTGGTTCTGTGCTTCTCCCTTCCAACCCCAGCACATCAGTGGCAGCAGGTTCTTCCCATCCTTCACCATTGCACGCAGACACTCTCCCAAGGCTCCGCAGCCTGTGAGGGAGCTATTCACAGCCTGCTGGTTTCTACTTTATCTTTCAGCTCCAGCCTGTTACTGCTCCTCCCTGATGCTTTCAGCCTCCCATCACCAGAGGACAAGACATCACCCCTCTGGGATTTTTCCCTACTCTGAGAACACAAAACCATTTAACACAGGACTCTCAAGGGAAAGATGTAAGCATCAAACTCTTCACTGGACATGAAAATGCTGCAAACGATCACTTTGTATTTTCTCAAACACATGAACTTGTTCCTGGCTTTTTTGTATTTTCAAATGAACTTTTCAAAGCAGCTTCAGAGACCCAAGGTTAATAACATCACACCCCAGCCTCACCTGTCTGCAGATACATGCAAGTGCTTAGAGATCAGGTCACACAGGAGCTTGGTGTAAGTCTTGTTCTGCTGCCCTCCTATTTTGCCGATGCTGTAAAGGCTGCAGAGCGCACAGGGATCAGTGGAGCCTCCGAAGGACATCATCTGATCAGGTACGATGTGCACAGCTATGTACTGCCGTAAGAGAACAAGCGGTTATGGCACATCTCGCCTTCCCTCTCCTGATGCAAACTGGCTTTAGGTACCAACTTTAACCAGCGCAGCTGTGTGCTGTCCCAGGCAGCTCACCCTCTGCACCCTCCCGAGGCTTAGGCACTGCAATCCAGATGGGTGGCACAGCAGTGCCCACTGCAGGGGTCCCCCCGGCTTGTCTCTCAGCTTTAGCAACTAAGATTGTGTCTGTGCCGCAGTGAGACGGGTCCTCCTGCCCGCACAGCACTGCTGCTGCACGGGGCAAAGAGCACACGGCTGGAGATAAGGGCCTTAAAACTGTGCATGATGCCAGAATTCACACCCTCAGATCACTGACTGAGCCACCGGGCCTGCCTAGGAGCCCGTCTGAGATTCAGCCTTATCAGGCTTCTCAGGCTGCAGCGGTCTGGCCCAAGAGGGACGGTATCGAATCCCAGGATAACCGGGAGCAGCTGGGAGGGAGCAGGCAGCCCGGAGGAGAGCTCCCGT